CTGTTGCTTCTCAACAAGCGAAAATCTCCTGCATAATATGGTATTCGATAGTCCCGTTGTAATCTAAATTCACAAAGTCAAACGAAATTTGGATCAAAGAGCATTACTCTAATTAATTTAGATTGAGGGAATCACAATTTGTGTACAAAGTAAACATACAAAGCAAACATACAAAGTATACACACACAAAAATGTCTCACAGATTACAAACAATGTTTATCCACAATCGAAATCATCCCACATGTAATACACAAGAAAAGTAGTCCAATTTATACAGTGTAAAGGTGCCTTCATCTCGAGCCAAGAAAATCGACTTTTAATTGAAATATAAACTGCTTACAAATAGAGGAGAAGTAGAGTTTCTGATCACATCCATGTTTTCAGAAAATGCTCATATGATTTATGCTCCTGCTGCATCATGTTTTTGTAACCCCACAATTTAATATGTACAATTACAGCTGTAATGTACTTGTGTTCGCCCGACACGTCTTTCATTTATCCTCCTTCTATTAGGAATTGTCAGTTTCGGCCATTGCTTTTGGGCAAGAATGTTTTCTTGCCCTTCTGCATCTGTTTGTACCTCCTCTTCTGGATGTGTGGCAAGCTCAAAAGGGTGGTGGTGGCCATTAATGAAGACTGGCAATGTAGTTGTGTTTTTATTAGTGTAGATAGTTCTATTTATAGATGGCTCAAAATTATATTGAAGAGAAAATTTAATTTTTTTCAACTTTTGGTAGTACTATGTAATTTATAAGGGAGCCCTCCAAATCCTGAATCAAAGTATAAAATAATTGATTTTGTGAAGTAACAATGTTGATTACCATGTTGTTTACCCCCATTACCCCCATTCCAGTAAATGATTTGCATTTGGATGCACACACCAGTGTACAACGTATTAAATGGGATTGCCAACGGTCTCATCCCACTATTTTACCGTGAGGGCTTTAGTTTACCCTCTAAGGGTATTTAAGGAAAGTTAACACATAATTCTATTCCACCTAAAACAAAGTGAAATCAAACTAAGAACTTAATTCGGGGACGAAGAGAGTATTACATTATGATATAATGAATTTAATTAGATTCTTCAAATAATGTTTACCGATTCAAGCTAATGTAAATTTGAAAGATTGAAAAATTAAATTTATGTTTTTTCTTTTAAAAAAGTACCGAATTTTGATGTTGTTACAATAATCTTTTTTTCATACAATAGAGTTTTTGAATATTAATTTAAAAAATTATTGTTAATCTCAAAGACGAATTGTGCGCAAATCTCACCTCCTTGAAGCAATAGTATCGCAAATGTAATTGTTTTTACATTGTGATATTTGATTCAAAGAGGTGAGATTTGCCACCATTGTAATGATAACAACTACTCTCATAAGCTCCCGTAACCAAACTAAAGTGTTTTAGGTGAACTCATTAAAACTTTCAAAACATTTTTTACTTTCGGGATGGGAATGATTTATATCACGTGGTCCTTACCTCAGACGAAAAACTATCATTACGTTATGACATCTGCATAGGTTTGGCTCATATATAGGTAGTTTTAAGAGGAAATTAGATGAGAAAGATTTTGATTAACTAAATTATAAGAGTTGTAAAGTACATTTGAATACAAACATTAAGATACAAATGTCCGATACAAATTCTACTCGTTTCAAAAGATCAAAAGAACATTAAAAGTTGTAAAATAAGAATATCTGAAAAGAAAGAAAGAAATTTGAAAAGGCTACCACAAAAAAGAGGAAAAGGGAGTGGTCAAACTTTTGGGCAAGAACATTCTCTTGCCCTTTTGCATGTGCAGGTACGTTGGAAATTAACTAGAAAGGAGGCATATGTGGCGAGCTCAAAATGGTGGTGGTGGCCATTAATGAAGACTCGAAATGTAGTTGTGTTTTTATTAGTGGAGATAGTTCTATTTATAGATCGCTCAAAATTATATTGAAGGGAAAATTTAAAAATTTTCAAATTTTGGTTGTACTATGTAACAATGTTGATTATCGTGTCGTTAACCCCTATTACCCCATTCCCATAAATGATTTGCATTTGGATGCACACACCAGTGTACAACGTATTAAATGGGATGCCCAACAGTCCCATCCCACTATTTTACCGAGAGGGCTTCGGTTTACCCTCTAAGGGCATTTAAGGACAGTTAACACATAATTATATTCCACCTAAATCCATGTGAAATCAAACTAAGAACTTAAATCGGGGACGGAGAGAGTATTACATTATGATATAATGAATTTAATTAGATTCTTCAAATAATCTTTACCAATTCAAGCTAATGTAAAATTTACAGAACAAAAAATTAAATTTATATTTTTTCTTTAAACAAGAACCATTTTTTTTTGTTACAATAATCTTTTTTTCATACAATAGAGTTTTTGAATATTAATTAAAAAAATTATTGTTAATCTCAAAGACGAATTGTGCGCAAATCTCACCTCCTTGAAGCAATAGTATCGCAAATGTAATTGTTTTTACATTGTGATATTTGATTCAAAGAGGTGAGATTTGCCACCATTGTAATGATAACAACTACTCTCATAAGCTCTCGTAACCAAACTAAAGTGTTTTAGGTGAACTCATTAAAACTTTCAAAACATTTTTTACTTTCGGGATGGGAATGATTTATATCACGTTGTCCTTACCTCAGACGAAAAACTATCATTACGTTATGACATATGCATAGGTTTGGCTCATATATAGGTAGTTTTAAGAGGAAATTAGATGAGAAAGATTTTGATCAACTAAATTATAAGAGTTGTAAAGTACATTTGAATACAAACATTAAGATACAAATGTCCGATACAAATTCTACTCGTTTCAAAAGATCAAAAGAACATTAAAAGTTGTAAAATAAGAATATCTGAAAAGAAAGAAAGAAATTTGAAAAGGCTACCACAAAAAAGAGAAAAAGGGAGTGGTCAAACTTTTGGTCAAGAACATTCTCTTTCCCTTCTACATGTGCAGGTACGTTTGAAATTAACTAGAAAGGAGGCATATGTGGCGAGCTCAAAATGGTGGTGGTGGCCATTAATGAAGACTGGAAATGTAGTTGTGTTTTTTTTAGTGGAGATAGTTCTATTTATAGATCGCTCAAAATTATATTGAAGGGAAAATTTAAAAAATTTCAAATTTTGGTTGTACTATGTAATTTATAAGGGAACCCTCCAAATTCTGAATCAAAGTGTAAAATAATTGATTTCGTGAGGTAACAATGTTGATTATCGTGTCGTTAACCCCCATTACCCCCATTCCCATAAATGATTTGCATTTGGATGCACACATCAGTGTACAACGTATTAAATGGGATGCCCAACAGTCTCATCCCACTATTTTACCGAGAGGGCTTCGGTTTACCCTCTAAGGGCATTTAAGGAAAGTTAACACATAATTATATTCCACCTAAATCCATGTGAAATCAAACTAAGAACTTAAATTGGGGACGGAGAGAGTATTACATTATGATATAATGAATTTAATTAGATTCTTCAAATAATCTTTACCAATTCAAGCTAATGTAAAATTTAAAGAACAAAAAATTAAATTTATATTTTTTCCTTAAAAAAGTACCATTTTTTTGTTACAATAATCTTTTATTCATACAATAGAGTTTTTGAATATTAATTTAAAACATTATTGTTAATCTCAAAGACGAATTGTGCGCAAATCTCACCTCCTTGAAGCAATAGTATCGTAAATGTAATTGTTTTTACATTGTGATATTTGCCACCATTGTAATGATAACAACTACTCTCATAAGCTCTCGTAAGCAAACTAAAGTGTTTTTGGTGAACTTATTAAAACTTTCAAAACAGTTATTAGTTTCAAGGTTGGAATGATTTACATTGTGATATTTGCCACCATTGTAATGATAACAACTACTCTCATAATACTCTCTCCGTAAACAGGCCCTGGAAATATCTGACAGGGCCTGTAAATATCTGACAGGGCCTGTTTACTAAAAGAGATATTTTCAGTTTTTCAGAAAACTAGAAAACTAGAAAACAGAAAACAGGAAACATGTTTATCAAAGAACATTGCTGGAAAACTGGAGAAAGGAAAACAGAAAAACGTGTTTACCAAACCGTTTTCCAAAACGAAAAAATGAGACATGTCTCTCTTTTCCTTAATGATTTGGAGAAGTGACTTTTAATAGTTTTCCAAATTTGAAAAACGCAGATGCTACAAGCCGCTGCAATGAATTTGCATACTTACACCTAGTTGTGGGTCTGGTCCCGCTTCGATGTCGATTCCATTCTAGTACCTCCATTCTCATACCTTACCCCTTACCCCTACCCACCAACCCCCACCCCGCATACCCTTTTCCCTACAATGACCCTACCCCCACCCTTACCACATGCCCCTATCTCGGTCCCACCCCGATCCACCCTACCCTACCGCCACCCCAACCCCACCCTGACCCACCCTACCCTACCCCCACCTCATATATTAGCCCTTACCCCTACCTTATCCCTTCCAACATGCCCCCTACCTCGGCCCCACCTTACCGCCATCCTACCCCCTCATACCGCCATACTACCCCCACCCTATTTCCATCCTACCCTCACAACCCTCCTACTCCCCACCCTACCCCTTCCCTTACCTTGGCCCCACCCTGATCCCGTCCCCACCTTACTGCCATCCTATCCCAACTCCCTACCTTACCCCAACCCCAACCTTACTCACTACCCCCACCCTTACCACTAACCACCACCCTAACCCAACCACTACTCCACCCAACCCCATACCCCTAGACCTTACCACTCCACCCCAACCATTTGGTGACTCATTTTTTTGGCTTATCAGGTTTATAATCAATTTTTTCACCAAACACGTAACTTTTGATTCGCGCACTGAATTGTGTAATAATAAGAAAAGGTAAGATTATAGTTAATTTTCTGGTTGAATTGACTAAAGTTAAGGAGAGTGGTAATTTTAGGTATTTTTCAATTCTTTCTCTGAAATCTGATTCCTAGTATGCTGAAAAGGTACACACGGTCTTCTGAAGAAAACATAACTCACGCTTGCAGATATCAGAAAAGCCGTCACTGGACTGTCAAGCAAACAAGCACGCACCTTTTCTTTCTATCGAAGGTGAATCATGTCAGCTAAATGGAGAGCATTGCAGCATCGGCATCGTTATACGTACAGTGTTGTTACTTTCTCACAAACTTTCATTGAGGCATTAGATCAAACACCATCCTCTCGCTTCTTCTCCGAACTAAAACAGATGGTATCCTTAACTTCAACGTACTCCCAACTCATCCATGCCAAGAATGTTGCTGCAGCGTTCTCCGACTTGCTGTGTAATACAAGTTTTGATGAGGGTTTAATGTCTAAGGCTTCGAGGTTCTATTTGGAGATTCTTTTCCTGGAGAATTCCGTACCTCTGCATAGAACTTTGATTTCCGTTCTTTCGAAATGCAAAAACTTTCAAGCTCTGGTCCAGAACAGTTTCCGAGAATTGTGCGATGAGTATGGAGGTGAGAATGGGAAAGGGAAGAGGTTTTGTGTCTCACGAGCTGCGTTGTCCATGATGAGCACTCCAAAGCTGGGATACTTGGTTGAAATAGTAGAAGAATGCGCGGTTTTGGTCGCATTGGATGTAGTGTCCGGGTTGAGTAGTATAGTGTCTCAAACCAGTGAGGGGTCCAGGCCTTCACCCCTTGTTATGGAACAGTGTCAGGAGGCTCTCTCGTGTTTGTACTACTTGCTTCAGCGGTTTCCTGCAAAGTTTATTGATGGAGATGTTGGAAAAGACCTCCTAGTTTGCAAAAGATATAGTCTTTTGGAGACTATCATGGCTACTGTTACCAGATTTTTGACTTCAGAAGAATTTTCCAGGGATTGTCTTGTGGCAGCTGGGGTCTGCTTTTGTGCTGCTCTGCAGGTGTGCCTTTGCCCTGAAGAGCTTGGTTCATTTATAATGGAAGGAGTTTTTAATCAGAAAGACGTTTCATGCTTAAAGTTTGAAAAGGATCTTACGAGAACGATACCATGGAAAGCAACACTGTTTACTGGAATCCAAAAATTATCTCCTCTCAGTAGACTTTGTTTGATCAGAGGGATCTTAACAGCAGTTTCAAGAACTGTCCTGAATATCCTTTTTGTTGTATCAAATGGTGGTTTTGATGATAACTGTAGTCCGGGAGATAATGACAGCTCTGCTAAGACAATTCTTTACGATGAAATTCTGCCTGAGCTATGTACTTTATGTGAGCATCGAACTGATAGCCATTTTAATTTCCATGCATTAACGGTGATGCAGATATGTTTGCAGCAGATAAAAACATCACTGCAAGGAACAAATGGTTATATTGAAGAAGGCTATGATCCAATCTCAGAGGAGATTGGAACGAGGATATTCAAAATTGTGTGGAATAATTTGGAAGACCCTTTAAGTCAAACAGTCAAACAAGTTCACCTTATATTTGATCTTTTCTTAGATGTTCAGGTAACCCTTCACTGGGCAGGGGGCAGTAAAAAATTCTACTCGTTCTTGAGGAAAATTTCCTCTGATCTTCTTAACTCAGGGCCACGCTGCAAAGGACGATATGTTCCGTTAGCTTCCCTTACTAAGAGGTTGGGGGCAAAGAGCATGTTAGATATGAGCCCTGACTTGTTATTTGATACGACAAAGGCATATCAGGATGACGATGTGTGCTGTGCTGCAACAACATTCCTGAAGTGTTTCCTAGAGTGCTTGCGTGATGAGTATTGGAGTAGTGATGGTGTTGCAGGCGGGTTTATGAAATACAGACATCACTGCTTGCTCCCGCTTTTCTCTGGACTTTCTTCTGGATTGGCTAAGCTGCGCTCTAATTTGAACACATATGCTTTACCAGTTTTACTTGAACTGGATGTTGATAGTATATTTTCAATGCTAGGTTTTATTGGCATCGAATGCAGCGGAGAGAGCACTGATGTTTTTTGTCCTGTACTAGATTCTAGGGATATTGTTCTGGGAGTTGAACAGAGGGTCGCTGTTTTGGTTTCCCTGCTCAAGGTTTGTCGTATGCTTGCATTAATTGAAGGAGACATTGATTGGCCTGAGTACTCTTCTATGGTATTGGAAGTGAAGGAGCTGAGTACTCACTCTGATGTTGGTGCTGTAAACTCTGTTGTCCGCCTGAAGGGGATTGAGGTTAAGATTCCGGTAAATTATCTGGTTTTAGCCCTTACACACATTGATGATTCACTCCGAATAGATGCAGCAGAATCTTTATTCATGAATCCAAAAACTGCCAGTTTACCATCTTCTTTAGAACTGAGTCTGATGAGGAAAGCAGTGCCATTGAACATGAGATGCTGCTCTACTTCCTTTCAGATGAAGTGGGCTAGCTTGTTCAGGAAATTCTTTTCACGTGTTCGGATTGCCTTGGAAAGGACAATTAAACAGGGCACCTGGCAACCTACAGTCAGTAATTGTGTTGTTGTTGGTCAATTTAATGGAGAACCAGAGCAAGCTATAAAACACAGGGCAGAAGACCTGTTTAATTTTATTAGGTGGTTGGGTTGCTTTTTGTTCTTCTCATGTTACCCATCTGCTCCTTATGAGAGAAAGATAATGGCAATGGAACTACTGTTGATAATGTTGAATGTTTGGTGTATTGTCCCTCCTGCTCAAGGAAATTCTGATTCTCAGTCTTCTGAAGTCAATCTATATCCTTACAGTAAGGGGTTAATCTTACCTGAATCAACTTTGCTTTTAGTTGGATCAATTGTTGATAGTTGGGACCGGCTTAGAGAAAGTTCTTTCAGAATACTGCTGCATTTTCCCACTCCAATTTCAGGAATCAGTACTCCAGAAATGGTATGTGGAGCAATGTTATGGGCTAAGAAGCTAGTATGTAGCCCACGTGTCAGAGAAAGTGATGCAGGTGCTCTGACTTTTCAGCTCATATTTAGAAAATATGTTCTGCAACTTGGTTGGGATGTTAGAGTATCATCACTATCATGCAATGCTGTTTCTCAGTCTTCGGCTAGGCAGTCAAATGGGAAGAATGGGGAATTTACATCTAGCAGCCCTGTAATTGAATATATAGGATCACTTGTTGTTTGGCTGTGTGCTGCTGTTGAAGAAGGGGAGAAGGATCTAACGGAAGCATGTAAGAACAGCTTCGTTCATGGTGTGCTGCTTACTCTTCGATATGCATTTCAGGAATTGGACTGGGATTCCGTAGCTGTTATATCTAATATATGCTACATGAAACTTCTACTGGAGAAAATCTTGGCTCTCGTTGTGCGAATAACGTCTTTGGCCCTGTGGGTGGTTTCAGCAGATGCATTGTACTTACCAGATGAAATGGAGGAGATGGCAGCTGATAGTGCTCATTTCTTAGAGAGAATGACTGAGATAGATGTTTCTACCTCTACACCAGCTGATGAGATGAGATCTGCTAAAACTGAGCAGGATGATGTGCCTATAGACCAGGTAGTTATGGTTGGTTGCTGGCTTGCAATGAAAGAGGTATATTTTGTTTGCCCTTCTCTTTACATAGTTTATATACCAAAGCATCTTATTTCATTAACCTTTTCAATTTTCATTTTTAATCTAGTATGGTAAGGACTAATTGATTATTAAATGTATAATGACCTTAAACGGAAGGGAAAGTTCCCTAAATAGGACTAAGAATGTTTTTGTATTCCAAAATCAGACAATTATGTTTTATTTCCCTAAGTAGGAGTAATTACTGCCGTGTTTTGGCAGTATCAGACTTAAAGCTTGGTAGTATTTTCCAAATTTGGCAGTAATTACTTATATTTAGGGAATAAAAACATGGCACTCCTAAGTTGGAATTTTCAAACATTTTTACTCCAATTTCAGGAACCTACCCTAAACAGAATTGTGGGTCCATTGTTATTATAAAAGCCCAATGTGGTCATTCTTTTGTTTTCACTTCACGCATTTCCAGGTTAGTCTTCTTTTGGGAACGATAATAAGAAAGGTTCCTTTGCCCTCCTCTGATGTACCGAACTCTAGTCTCCCAAATGCTGATGTCACTGATCATCTATTATCTGACACAGTTCTTGATCTGAAGCAACTTGAGATAATTGGTAACCACTTCTTAGAAGTCCTTTTGAAAATGAAGCATAATGGTGCTATTGATAAGACGAGGGCTGGGTTTACTGCCCTTTGCAACCGTTTGCTTTGTTCAGATGACCCAAGGTATGTTTTGTCCGACTCATGACGGTAACTTGCACACGCTGACAACATAAGTGCAAATATCTATTGCTATCATAGCCAAACAACATTGAAAAATGAAAACAAATTAGTAGGACTTTTATCCCTGCATTATTCCATTATTTTATGTCTTAAATCTGACTTGCTTTAGTCTCCTATGACCCATCAGGATGGAGCCTTGGATCTCAAATGGAAGAGATCGGAAGTGGATATCCATTTTATTTGCGACCCTAATATTTGCGATCTGATTCAATCTTTTTGGCTATGTATGGGGTGCCGTTAAGGACCTAAGGTCACTGGTTTTCGGCCCAATTTAATAAAATCTAGACACTATGGTGTATTAGGTAACAATTTGTTTCTGTATAAATTAGTGGGAGCCCAATTGATTCAAATCCCCCAGTAATTGACACTTAATAAATGGTATATATCTTCTGCAGTTCTGCCTCGCAGACTTGCCATCTTAACAATCTGTTCTTTTTCTTCTTTCCAATTGGTAGACTTGCCAGTCTTATTTTCATCTCTTCATCTTGTGTAGCATTCTTGTAAATATAAACGTTTAAATGCATAGATTACATAGGCATATATCAAGGTAATAGAGGGAGAGAAATCTAAAGCAGGAATGAAATTTAAGCTAATCAGATCCTGTATATTATGTGCTGATATAAGTAAAGGAAGTTGGTCTAATATCTTCTATAAAATAACAAACATTTTCATACACAATTAAAAATTTCAGCATATTTGATTCGAGAATATGTTCCTTTAGATGCTGGAGCTTCATTTTTATCTTAAACTAGAAAATCAACACTAGATGCAAGAAATCACTGAATAGGCGTGACTTTCTTATATGATCACTTTGAATAGGTTCTGGTTTTGGCTCGCAATATGTTCCTTCAGATTATATGTTGTCATTCTAATCGAAGCTGCGAGGAATTAATGAGTTTATTAACACAATTGTTCTAGGCTATATAAATTGACTGAATCTTGGATGGAGCAGCTCATGGAGAGAACTATTGCGAAAGGACAAAATGTGGATGACCTTGTTAGGAGAAGTGCTGGTATTCCTGCTGCATTTACTGCTTTTTTCCTTTCAGAGCCCGAGGGTGCACCAAAAAAGATTTTGCCCAAAGCACTGAGATGGCTAATAAATGTGGCTAAGAAGTCTTTAACAGATGTAAACAATGAATATAGTTCTGATTCTGAGTCTTGTTTGGCCATTGATTCAACAATGGTACCTGATGTGACTGTGGTGGATAAGATCTCAAAGACTAGAGATGAGGGTGTTGTTCCTACTGTGCATGCATTCAATGTCCTTAGAGCTGCGTTCAATGATGCCAACCTGTCAACAGATACATCTGGGTTTTCAGCAGATGCACTCATCGTCTCAATTCAATCGTTTTCTTCTCCATACTGGGAAGTGCGAAACAGTGCCTGCCTTGCATATACTGCTCTTGTTCGACGGATGGTTGGATTTCTCAATGTGCAGAAACGCGAGTCTGCAAGGCGTGCCCTTACCGGAGTTGAATTTTTTCATCGGTATTATCTGAATGTCATTTTTTGTTTGTGTTTATACTATATCCTGTTTTCAATATTTTGCATTTATGATCTCTTCTGTTTTTAGTCATTGGGTAGCTAAAATTTAACACCAACAAATTGACATGTTTACTGTAATTTGCCATGAATTTTTCTCTTTAGCTCTAAACTTTTAGAGTGTATGAACATGGGATAATTAATTGCTGTCCCAATTTTCTAAATTAATTCCAATTTATGTGGTCTGGAACTCTTCTACTTCTTTATATTTCTGCTATCTATGTTTTTTCAAAATTCTTTCCATGCTTTGTCAGTTGTCTGCTGAACCTTATGCTAGCTGTTCATCTTTACATATTTGGGCATTTGCATGAACTTCAGATGTTTTTGTATGATACGAGCACTACCTTATTTAACATAAATCCCAATAGGGATTTTTCAAAAGTTTATAAAAGGAGGGGCAAGAAGGTAAATAATCAGAGAGGAAGCGGAGGCAGAAATAACGGACTAGAGGAAGGGGAATAGTCCGCAGAGGGTAAAGAAACGAATAAAAGAAAACGGAAGCGGAAGGGGAAAGGCACTGGGAAGTTGTTCGGAACTGGGAGAGCGAGATCCTCTCGAAAGATCTCATTTTTACTTTCTGCTATTTTGTTCCTTTATAGTTTTTGTTCCCAGACTGTTCTTGAGTTTTCTCAATAAAGACTCTAATATTAAGTTGGAGTGTGTAGTCAAAGTAAAGTACATGAATAGTGTATATATTCCAATGTTGCAATTAATGAGATACGGAGGATAGTATTTGCTTATTGTATAGATTAAATAGAACCATTCAGTTCCTTGTGTATTTGCTATCTGAGGGTTGGATAGAAATTATCAAGCTTTTCTCATTTTAGTTATGCCAACATAACATCATAACATGCATAGAAAATATGCTTTTATTCAATCTCTGCAGGTACCCCTCATTGCACAATTTCTTATTTAATGAACTGAAAATTGCAACTGAAATGCTCTTGGATGGATCTGCTGAGAGTCTATCTTCCAGTTTGGCAAAAGTAGTGCACCCCAGTTTATGCCCTATACTGATTCTTTTATCTCGGCTTAAACCATCTGCAATCACATCTGAATCTCGAGATCCGTTCAACCCTTTCTTATTCATGCCATTCATCAGGAAGTGCTCAGTCCAAAACAATCTTCGGATTCGCATTCTTGCATCTAGAGCTCTGACCGGCATTGTGTCCAATGAAAAACTACCAGTGGTTATCTTTAATATTGCCTCTGAATTGCCTCCCATACACAACCGGAGTTTGACATCTGGATTTTCCAACTCGAATGCCTCTTTTAATTCAATCCACGGAATGCTATTGCAGCTGAGCTCTCTTTTGGATGCCAACTGTAGAAACCTCGCTGATTTCTCTAAGAAGGAAGATATTCTTAGTGACTTGATTCATATTCTTGCTAAGAATTCGTGGATTGGAAGTCCTCAAAAGTGTCCTTGCCCAATTCTTAACAGCAGCTTTTTGAAGGTTCTTGATAACATGCTCAGTATTGCTAGAACATGTCAAATGTGCAAATGTATTAGTGTCATTTGGAACCTACTGTGGGCCTTATCAGCAGAGTGCCTAGATCTAGACACTTCTAAAGGGCCATCATACTTTGATCCAACAATTACAGAACTTCGGACACAAGCTGCAAGCTCATATTTCAATTGCGCTCATCAAACATCTAAAGTAGATGAAGATCTTATGCTTTTGATGAGAGGTCCTCCACCTGATTCAGAATTGTTTAAGAACTCTGAAATTCAATCGTCTGTTACTAGATTCCATGAAAGACTGGTCCAATCCATGTCTGATACATCATATGAAGTTCGAATTGCAACACTTAAGTGGCTACTTCTTATCCTGAACACACCTGAATGCAGTACTGGAAGCAGAGATAGATCTTACAGCGAGGTGAAAATGCTTTGGTTGACCAATATTGACCTCCAGGCTACTTTAATGAGACATTTAGCTGTGGAGAAGAATCCTAAGTGCATGAACTACATTTTAAAGATCATCTACACTTTCAACATGCAGGAGTATCATAAGGACAACCAACAACATGAGAAACCAAGTTTTATTGGGAATATGGACATTGATTCAGTCCTCCAGTTTTGGGACAAAGTGGTTTGCTTGTACAATGTCACAAGACATGCAAAGACTAGAGAGAGTCTTGTATGTTGCATGGCCATTTGTATGAAACGGTTAGTTGACCTTTTTACAGGCTCCATCTGTGGCTCGGGTAACAATAAAATAGTGGTATTCGCCTCTTGTGATCCATCCGAGTTATCTGTTTTCATTCAGTGCATAGACTATTTTGTCAAAGCCATTCAGGAGCATAGTGATGCATCAGAGCCTATAAATATGCGGAAGGCAGCTGCCAAATCAATAGTTGCATCTGCTTTGCTGGAACAAGCTCAGCATCTCAGTCCTCCTTTAGTGTCCTACAATCACCAAGAAGTTCCTGAAGGAAACAAAAATGATGATGCTGTTTATGCATTTTATGCTCGTAAGATTCTGGATTTGTGGTTTATTTGCATAAAGCTTCTGGAGGATGAAGATGTTGGACTTAGGAAGCAACTCTCTCTGGAGATCCAGAAGATCACCTCTGGAAATTGTCTTTCAACTGTATTAGTTCCTACCCAAGTAGAGAGAGTGATCGAGATAAGCTTTGAGCATCTTTCATCTACTTTTGGCCACTGGCTTGACTATCTTGACTCTCTTTGCCACTGGGTTCTAACCACTGCAAGCTGTGCATATTTGATGTTATCAACAGCAGATCCTGTGAGACGTGTCTTTGACAAGGAGATTGATAACCATCATGAAGAAAAGCTGCTGATCTCTCAGTTGTGTTGTTCCCACCTGGAGAAGCTTGCAGTTTCAAAATTGACAACAGAATATTATGACAGGCATATTGTCTGTAGTTTCTTGTTGAGCTGGAGGAAGAGATTTTGCCAACAGTTGGTGTCATTTGTTAATGATTATACTGGTATTCACGGTGGTGATGATTGGATTGGTGGATTAGGCAACCATAAAGATGCTTTTTTACCGGTGTATGGGAATTTATTGGCTTTTAATGCTGTGTCAAGCTGTATTCTGAATGGTGAGCTAGAAGACAGTATGCTGCCTGAACTCCTTGAACTTGGAGAGGCAATACAACCATTCCTGGGAAACCCCTTGATCTCTAGCCTATTTGTTTCAGTTGTCAAGTCACATGAGAAAATTTCACGTGGAAATGTTCATCGCCTGCTTCCGGAAACAAGCAGAGCCAATTCTGCTGCTTGGGATGCTTTTGATCCTTACTTTTTACTTAGGTGAGGTTCTCCCATTTTATCCATATTGTGTAGGTCTTTTAATAGGGACACAATTTGTCACCATTATTTCTCCCCGTCATTAGATGGTTGTAGTCTTCTTGGTTAGAGGAAGTCTCTAGGTAGTGTAACTTTATAGACCTGCACACCGTACATTTTAACTTACCGGTGATGATTTGTTGTGATTCTACTACACTATTCTTTTACCCGTGTGTTGCTGGGGATAACAAACTAAAAAATTACTTGAACGTTATTTAGTGTGTTCAAATAGAATTGGATGAAGATGCACATCAAGTTATTAACCATTATCAAAGATTTTCCCTACTCTTATAGATGGTCATTTCTTTATGTTTGATGTATTAAAATTAAGAATCCATATGGTTAAGTGGTTAACCTCTATTTATGGTATTTAGCGATCTTATAAGCTATTTTCTTTTTTACCAAAAAGTGTTAAATAAGTTTACTTTTGAATTGAAGCTATCATTGTATCTACCAACATTATTCATTACAAGAATTACTACTCCCTCCGTCACTTAAAGGTTTGCCATGTTTGACTGGCACGTAGAATAATAAAGTAAAAATTGTGTGGTAGAAATTTGTGCAGAGGAGAGAGAAATAACAGGAACCACAATTTGATTGATTAAAAGGGAAAGTGTCAAAGTTTTTGGGATAACCAAAAAAGGAAAGTTGGCAAAATTATAAGGGACGAAGGGAGTATGTAGTAAAAAAATGGATTGATGTGTTCAGAAAGTATGCTTCTATGTTTTTTAAGTAAAACTTTCTAGATCGAATGTCGTAAGCATTGTTCTAAGTGAATTTTGACTATATAAAAATAGAGAACCTTTCATGTCTTATCTATTATAGCATGAATTTAATTATAGAAGAACTATAATTCAGCTATTACTTATATACTTGCTGCGATTTATGACTACAATTTTGAGAATATGGCTCAACACTATAAATTTTAACGGGAAAAGGGGCAAATAAGCCCTCGAACTAACCGAAAAAGTGTAAATCACCTCTTTTATAGGAGGTTCTGTCCGGCCGTCATCATTTGAGGTGGTTCCCGGTGGAATTTTTTGATGAAATGTTTTGAGCATCTTCTTCGTTAAGTCTAGTTTACCCATACCAGATTTCAATTAAAAATTCAATCGTGAAGGCAGTCAAATAAATGTTTGAAGATAACTGCGCAGTGAAACAACACACTATATTTAAGCAAATCGTTTGACTGCCTTTCCGGTTGAATTTTTACCTGAAATTTGGTATGGGTATAAAGAAGATGCTCAAAAAAATTCATCAAAAAATTCCACCGGTAACCGCCCCAAATGACGACGGCCAGATTGAGTCTCCTATAAAAAGGGTGATTTGCACTTTTTCGATTAGTTCGAGGACTTATTTGCACTTTTTCCCAATTTTAACCAAAGTTTATCTTACGCTAAATGCTAAGAACCATATATCCCTATTTCTTCATCCTGAGCCAAGAAACTGCAATCATGTCAGGTCCAAGAAATTAGGACATGTGTAAGTGTGTAACCTGTGCTGCTTTTCAATAATTCATTATGTTCTTCAATAGCTGCAACACCCATATAAACATAGGAGTGGACTCGGGCTGGGCCAACCGGCCCGGAACCGGATCGGCCGCTACTGTGCGGGCCTGATGAACCGGTTGGTTGCCCGGTTCGGGCCACCCGGCCCGGTGGGATGGCGGTTCGGGCTCGAACCCTTCAAAAGGTGAACCGGCCCGGCCGGTTCGGGTCCGGATCGGGCAAATTTATTATTATATTTTTCTTTTGAATTTTTTTTAAGTTTTTGGGTTGGGCTGGGTATTTTGGGTCATTTGAGGTGATTAGGGTTGGTTTGAGGGTGAGGGGGGAGGGTTGGGGGTTAACTAGGAAAAGTCAAAAAAAAAATAGAATCGAGATTCGGCCTGACCCGGACCCGGGGTTACCCAGGCCGGTTCCGGGCCTCCCCTTAATGAACTGAGGCCCGGCCAGGCCCAGACCCGAACCGGGCCCGAACCGGAACCGGTCCACCCCTATATAAACTATCCAAGAAATTATGACACATATAACAAGCTCGGCAACACTCTAAATAATGTTACGTTGCCCCTTCACCTTTTTTATTGTCAGAATATGTATTACTTTTCTGTCAAATAATTAACAATATGTATCTCATGATCAACAATATTGTGTTGTTTCATCTGAGACTATTCACACGGCTGAAATAATAATATTTATGTGGATATTCGTCCTCTCTATACCTGCTTATTTGCTCATGTTTGGATTATTTGGAGAATGAAATGAAATCGCTCAATATCGGAGCCTCTGAACTCCTAGTAGCGATTTTTCTTAGTTGTTCCGTATATTTTGCCTTTTTCAAGCTTTCATCCTCAAAATGCATGTAGTATTGCTGACTCATGGCTGGCCAGGTGGAAGCTGCCCTAGTCTCTATGGCCACGAAAATCGAATTGGAACTCCGTCCAGCAGCTCCGACCGCCGGCATTCCTCGTTATTCAGGCGCCGAGAAATCTGCTTCGACGGAATTTCCACAGTCTGCTCGGACAGCCCCTCCCCTTGCGACGCCGTTTCTTCTACTTTGAAGTACAGTGCACCATTGCTCCATGTGCTCAATAAACCGGCCACATGATCTTTTATGGGATTCGCTGTTGCAATGTTTGGATTTGTATTTTGTAGGGATGGTGTTGATGACTGTATTTCTGCAATTAAAACTATTCCGAGGAGCGCCGTTTTGCCCACTCGTAGAATGCTATTAGCTAGTTTTCTTATGCACTCGTTTTGTCATCCTTCAAGGTACTTCTCAGGTTTGCTCCTTTTGCCTTCGTTGATTTTGTTACCCTACATGAATTCAGATCGTTTTCTATATGCATTTTCTGTTTGGTTCCGAATTCTGCATAAGGCTCTTTACAATTATCCGCACTGGTTTTGCTAATATTTCACTTCAAGGCATATGTATACCTCTCTATATTGAGAAGTAAAAGCAGAATGGCTCCTTGCCAGCGTAATAGAGAATGACAGATAGTAGAGAGGGGAAAACACATTATCATGTTATTCTTTTGCTCATTCTTGCATTACATAGAGAATGGACCACTCTTAGCCTAAATAAATAGTTAGAGGATACTAGAAAATGTAATATTTCTCTGTTTTAACACTCACAATGGCTACACAGTTGATTAATGGCTTATCAGGTCCACAATTCCGGCCATCCTTTTTATATCATTTGCTAAAATGGCAGTGTGAGCCGCCCATGGTCCCAACCGTGGTTTCTTTCATAATTTTCAACTTGAAGGGTAAAAGACCTAGTGGGAGTGGCAGATCACTGAATCACTCTCACTGCTATCGTTCCAATATCCATATTTGTACTTAACCTCCCATAGGGTGCATAGACAAGATGAAAACTGAAACCTACTTATTTCGTGAAGAAAATATCAATGCCCAAGGTTTGGGCTTGATTATATATATTCAACACATACTAAGATTCTGATGGCAAAAGTGTATCTTGGTGTACAGCTTATGCTTTGGGGGATCCATCTCTTAGGGTTGAACAATTCACAAAACCTACTTTTCCTTCTACTTCTCTTTTCCCTTCTGAGGTAAACCTCTACTGTTGTACACCAAGACTAGTCTTTTTCGGTCCTTTTATAGCAAAATTTAATAGGCGGGTGTGAACTTTACAGGAAAGAATTGTACAACTCTTTGAGGAGAATACTTACTCCGTGGTCAACATATTTGATGTAACACTGCGGCCCAGGATTAATGTTGGTGGTGCAGTTGAGGTATTATTTCTAGATTTTTCATCTATTCGATCGATTTGAGTTCCTCCGATATCGTGCAATCTTGAATACTGGATCTCAAACCTATATCCTTAAGGCACATTGTGCCATGCCATGGAAAATAGTTTCACTTTATTTGTGATAGCAGATTCCAGAAGGAAATGGTTCTGGAGTTGTGTGGGATGGTGAAGGGCATATTGTTACAAACTACCATGGTAAAACCTTTTGGAGTAATTAATTGGCTTAGTATATTGTGCAAGTAACATGTCTCCTTTGTATTTTTAGTGATTGGCAACTCGCTTTCAAGAAACCCAAAACGTGGGGAAGTAGTTGCACGGGTTACTATACTTGCTCCAGATGGGTGAGAGAAAAGAGTATTCCCTATTATCTTTTTGGCTTAGTAGAGTCTCAATCACCACTGCATTGTGAATATGATGTTACAATTCATTACTTTGCCCCCTTCAAACTTCATCTTTTAAATTCTTTGGAAGGGTGCAAAAGACATTTGAAGGTCAACTAGTTGGTGCCGATCGTTCTAAAGATCTTGCTGTCTTGAAGGTATAATTTGTTTAGATACATTAGTATTAAAGAAATTGCTCAAAATATGACTTAAAGTGTAAAACATGGGCAACGTTCAAAAATAGTACTAAGTATGTTTTATTCCCAATATAGGACTTATTTAGTCCTATTAAAAGAATAAAACAATAAAAGCTTCCCATAATAGGAGTGAATGAGTTCAGTTATGGAAAGAAAACAATGATACTCCTATTTGAGAAAAAGTGATATGTTTTGCTCCTATTTAAAGAATTTTCTTATGGTACATGAGATTCCTGAGTTCTTTCCCAGTTTTTTTTAATGTTTTACCTTAGTTAAAAGTTAAATTTATCAATTTGGAGAAGTGAAAGTTTATGCTTTTAGGAATTTCATGAAAGCAGTTGATCTGCAATATTCCATGGTTGAGATAATTAACTATATATACTTTTCAAGGTGGAGGCATCTGAAGACCTGTTGAGGCCAACCAAGATAGGGAAATCATCTTCTCTAAAAGTTGGTCAAGAATGTTTAGCCATTGGAAATCCCTTTGGATTTGATCATACACTCACTGTTGGGGTTATTAGTGGACTAAACCGCGATATATTCAGTCAAACAGGAGTTACAATCAGTGGAGGAGTTCAAACTGATGCTGCCATCAATCCTGGAAACAGGTATCTTTTGTAGAAGGATTTGCTTTTATATGCCTCCTTTCTGTCGGACATCTAATACATGATAGTAACTCATGTTTCATTTTTTGAAATGAATTTTATCTTTCTTGGTTGCAGTGGAGGACCTTTATTGGATTCCAAAGGAAATTTAATTGGAATTAACACCGCAATATTCACTCGGACAGGTAAACAGTTCATTCGTTAGTTTTGCAATTCTTCAGAAGGAAACAGAAGTCTAATTGAGGAAAAATCTTTGGGCAGTTCTGCTGATCTATAGAGATGTTAGCCTTCTGAAGTTGTGTAGCTTATTTACAATTTGGGGTATTGCAAACATATATCATCTGGATGCTCGTTTCTTTCCCATGATATTTGGGTGACAGGAACATCAGCAGGGGTTGGTTTTGCCATTCCATCTGCAACTGTAATGAGAATTGTGCCTCAGCTGATCCAATCTGGAAAAGTATGCACTCTTTGTTTTAGGCATCTTACTATTCTTGTAGATCATTTTTGTCAATCTTCTAAGATTGTGAGGTCTTAGTTTTTACAGGGAAGGCTTGCCCCGTTATACACCCTTGTGGTGGGCCCTTCCCCAAACCCTTGCCGTGCGGAGATGCCTTCGTGCATCGGGCTGTATTTTTTTCTCTTCCCTCTGAGCTTGTGAGCTCTTCACTTTATACTTTGCTTCACTAGTGTTAAGTGTCCTGCGAGGTACAATTATCAGATCTCTATCTAATGTATAACTTTGAGATACAACTCACCTCATGAGAATCCTTTTGGAATGTGGTGGGCCCAATTTAATATGGTATGAGAATCTGGTCTGATTGTGAATTGTTTATTTTCTCGGCACCTATTGTTTGAGTAGCCTGTTTGGGGTCACTTTGACTCATTTATCCATATCTCGAGTTGTTTTGCCTGGTGTGGGCAGAGGAACATATTAAATGTCCCATAGACGTTGACCATATCTGTATGACTGTATCTAACCTATTAGAGTGAGGTAACCGCGTTGTATTGTAAAGATTTATTTGGGGTGAGTTAAACAGTTGGACCCAATTTCATAGTGAGGAGTTGAGAAGAGAGTACCACCACGAAAGAAACAGCCTTCTGACTTAGCTTGTATCATATATTCAGGTTACTCGAGCTGGTTTAAATATTGAAATCGCTTCTGATCCAACCGCAAATCAACTCAATGTTAGCAATGGAGCTCTTGTTTTGCTGGTATGGCATCCCACCCTTCTGAATTCTGATACATGCCTGGCACAAGCATGATGCAAGGCCCTCTCATTCAAGTCAACTCACACACTACTATTTAATCATCACCCACACTCTTGCATTACTTGCACAGGTACCTGCAAACAGCCTTGCAGCCAAGGCTGGGATTCTCCCTACCTCAAGGGGCATTGCTGGCAATATTGTACTTGGGGATATCATTGAAGCAGTTGACAACAAGCGTGTGAGTTTTCCATTGTTATTAGGATTGAGCGTGTATGGGATGGCTATTTTAAAAATGTTTCCCGTTCCTCAAATTATTTTAAAAATTAAGAAATCAATACCATCCCAAATCCAAATAGAACCTGCCCCATTTTGTACCAACTTTTGGTATGGGTAGGGGCGGCTCTTTGGTACCCTCTTCTTAAAAAAGTAGATGAGTCACAAATAATAGATAAATGATGGTAAAACATTGGACCTAAAAGGTATATTCTTAGAAGTTAAATACTACTATCATATTTGGTTCTAGAGTCTAGTTATATTTAAAGCTGATTAAAAGATCCTTAAAATACTTTGGCTCCTTTAACTAGCATTTTATTAGTAAAATTTTTATACTTATATGATTGTAGACATACTAGATTACTAGATAGAATTCACTTTAAACTTTATATATTTACAAAATTGTGCATGATACTTGTCATTATTTAAAACATATACATGTGATGTTGGGAAAAATCTAATTGTTTTACATATTCGCTGCAGGTCAGAAGTAAAACTGATTTGTATAAAGCATTGGATGACCACAGTGTTGGGGATAATGTGAAGTTAAAGATCCGAAGAGGGAATGAAAACCTGGAGATCACTGTAGTTTTAGAGGAAAAGGAATGATGAATCTTTGTAGCTCCCAATTTTATGCCCAGCTCATTCAGTTTACCTCACACCCCTTACCGAGTTCCCGTACTATATATATATATATATATATATATATATATATATATAGGGGTTAGTTACTGTGAGAAAACCCTGTTAGGAGAGGAAAAAAGATTCAAATCCAACCATTGACTAACCTTTAATGATTGTAATCCGATGGTCTAGAAATATTTAAAAAGGGAGAAAATAGTGCATTATTTTTGGATGATATGAGTAGTATATAAGGTAACGTGCATTTTAACATTTACTAAAGGGCAGAATGGTAAAAGTAATCCAAGTTGTTATCTTGCACGTACACCATTATAGGAAGACTTCCTAAAAATTAGGCTAATCATTAATAAGGATTCGTAACTCCCAATTACTCTAATAAATAGTTCATATTATTTAATCTTCTTTCCAAGTTTATTATTCTCTCACATAATTTAGATACCCGATTAGGGGTGGACTGGTTCGGGCTCGGTTCGGGCCTGGGCTCGGCCGGGCCTCGGTTCATGAAGGGGAGGCCCGGAACCGGTCCGGGTAACCCCGTGTCCGGGCCAGGCTGGGCCTCGGTTCTAATTTTTTTTTTGGCTTTTCCTAGTTAATCCTCAACCCTCCCCCCTCACCCCCAAACCAACCCTAACCACCTCAAATGGCCTAAAATATCCAGCCTAACCCAAAAACTTTAAAAAAATTCAAAAAAAAAAATTACAAATTGGCCCGGCCCGGGCCCGAACTGGCTAGGCCGGTTCACCTTTTGAAGGGCCTGAGCCCGAACCGCCATCCCACCGGGCCGAGTGGCCTGAACCGGTCAACCAACCGGTTCATCGGGCCTGTCCGGGCCCGCACAGTAGCGGGCCGGTCCGGTTCCGGGCCGGTTGGCCTGGCCTGAGTCCAATCCTATACCCGATTTAAAAAAAATGTACGCAATTCAAAATTATTTTTCATGATTCACCTATATCTTTTTAGATGCAATATTCAGTCAATAAGTATTGCACTGAACAGTCAAATATATGCACTTTTTACTCAAACTTATGTTGCATGAAACATCAATTTAATTAAATATTTGAATTTGTTACACATATAGTAATCTAAATCATCAGGACCACTCACGAATGGAACTTAACAATGTGAAGATAAACTAATTTTTTATCAAATAATTTTCACTTTTACAAATCACACATTTTTATATGAAGCACTTTTCATAATGTTATCCTGCACTTTACACATGTAGATTTTCACTTTTATACAGTTTTTAATCAATATGATTTTCAATGAAATGAAAAATAAAGATATAAGCACATGACTTAACAATAATCATGTGCATTTGAAATAAATACAAAAGTGCACTATCATATAATAGTTTATTAATTGCATTTTTCAGACAAAATAAAACACACTTTTGTCATGTGCATTCTAAATACAAACAAATGTGCAGTACTATATCACACTCAATTTTTACATTGACATTTTTAGCAAAATGATATGCACTTTCATTGTTTCTCTTATACTGGTACAAATTTACATTCACATTTTTGTTCAAAATACAATGCACTTGTTTCACTTTTGTGGTATGCCATTAATATCCTCTGATTGTAGATTCGCATGCTCTAATCCATTTTCATATTTTCCTTACATATCACCTGCATAATAGATAAATAAAATTACAACGAATATAATAATTTACACAATAATCCGCATAATGTCACACTATTCACAAATGTAGATGCACTACGTTTCAAAAAATGAAATGCACTTTCATAATGTGCATTTGAAATATTATAGAAGTGCACTATGAGTTTGTTCAAATAAAAAGTACTTCCTAGGTGAAAAATAAGAACTAATCTTACCCGCACGGGTAGCTCAGTTGGTCGAGTGGTGAGAGATTTGGATCAATGGACCAATGTTCGAATCCCCGTAGCGACCGGGTGGAGGTCACAGAACCTGAAATAAGGTTGGGCCTCTGGTGCGCACGGATGTATGAGCCTACTGTCATTCTGCTGACTGAGTCACCGTGACTAACCTCCCCACCATCCTGTCGGGTCGGGGTGGGGGGCTCTTGGGGTGGGAGATTCCACCATTTGGATCAATAAGAACTAATCTTAACCATTGGTGTGAAAAAATGGATGAAAAAGATCAATTTTTAAGTTGGAAACGCGGTGTCATTTTTGTAGTTATGAAGAACTTTTATTAAAAATTTTGTGACAACTGTGCATTACAATAGACAAAAAGTGCACATATAGAGCACAAAAGTGCAATACGGTACAAAATAAAAAGTGCACAAGCTGGAATATTTTAATAGTCTTTTTTATACACATGAGTGCACTTTTAATAAGTAACTATCCACTTTATAGTATAAAAGTTTGCACATTTTTTGAAATCATCTCTTGTGTATAAAGTTCATCTAATCCATCCATTTTCGAGTAATGGAAGGCCAAGATTTATTCTAACTTTTCGTGGGAAGACTACTTTTTACTTGAATCCACCCCTATATACACTATTACATCAAATTTTCTGATATTTTACGTTGAGTTTTTTTACAGAATTCAACGCATTTTCTCAGCTCTCTCAAATATAATGGATCATAATTGTACACTGCATCACATCCACACAAAAAATAAAACTAATGAAAGTGCATTTCCAAAGTACTATAAGTGCAATAATAATCATATATAATTGCATCGAAATGATATACGTAGTAAGATATAAGATTAAGTTATTCAATGAAGAAGAGTAATCATCAAAAAGTGAAGCAATACCAAACGCAATGCATGAAAATCAAAGTAAAAGTGCACTAGTATGTCATTGAATTAGCAACACAATAAGAGAGAACCACTCAAACAACATAATCACGAATACAGATGCATCACAGTACACAAATTGCACCACTAGACATAGAAGAATAGAACAATCAAATCTAAAAAGTAAATTATATGTAAGATCAATTTAACAATAGAATCAAACAGATATAGTATAATTAATTACTTGGAAAATACTTAATCGAGAATATTGAATAAAAATTCATACTAAATAAACAAAAAGTCATCCAAGTGCAGATGACGATATAATTTAGAATTGAAAACCGAATGAGATTAAAATATACTTACAATAATTCGTTGTGGTGACAGACTAGAGGAGAGATAGAGTAGAGACAAAGGATCAATGACCGATAAAAATGAGAAATTTAAAAGAGGCCTCGAAGAGAGACGGCCGATGAAGATGAACGAGAGACATGATCTGCAAAGATGAACGAAGTAGCTATTGCGGAACAAGAGATGAAGAATGGTGAAAGAGTTTTTTGGGAAAGTTGTTACGTTACAATCAATTAACCGATTGAGTGGCGGAAGATTAGGGAACATGGATGGAAAGAAGTGAAAAAGACCCCAAAACCCCTGATCGAATTAAATAATAAACTAAATAAAAAATCAGATCTAAGGGTTACTATTGATTCTTTTTTACTCGATTAAGTTCTCACATGAACCTAAATATATATATATATATATATATATATATATATATATATATATATATAGATTCATCATTCCTTTTCATTCCCTCTTCGGATCTTTAACTTCACATTATCCCCAACACTGTGGTCATCCAATGCTTTATACAAATCAGTTTTACTTCTGACCTGCAGCAAATATGTAAAACAATATGGAAAACCTTCTTGTGCATTTTTATAAGAAATTGCGCCAACTTCCAAAGCTAGGATAGCTAGCTAAGAAAAACTTCCAATTTGCAAAATTAATGGCAGTTTGTCCTCCCCTAATCTTAATTCTCTTCGGTCTCTCATTCCGAGCCTTTTGCTTGTAACCTTTTGCAACAAGCCGAGCTTTGTATCGCTCGACCATACCTTCAGCATTGCATTTCTTCTTATACACCCATTTGACTCTGATCGGCTTATGACCTCTCGGGAGATTGGTAAGTTCCCATGTCTGATTCTTCTCAATCGCTTTTATTTCTTCGCTCATGGCATCTCTCCATTTTTCATCGTGCTTGGCTTCTTCAAAAGTAATATCCTCCCCATCGGCTAGAAGACATACCATGTGAACCTCTGGAGCTGCTTCATATATGTCCTGTATGTTTCTGTACCTTTGCCGGCTCGTCCCTTCTTCTTCTTCCTCGTCCACCGGGGTCGTCATAGATCCCGCCCCGATTGGTTCTGGTGTCATCCCGAGCGGGATTGGAATTGGGGTCCCGCCCGGGGTCTCTTCGTCATTTGAGGTCCCGTCCGGGACGTCCTCGTTATTTGAGGTCCCGTCCGGGACGTACTCCTTCTCTGTGTTCCAATCCCAGCTTCCCTTTTCATTTATCTCTACATCTCTGCTCACTGTGATCTTTTTCTCCTCGGGATCATATAGTCTATATCCCTTTGTCTTCTCATCATATCCAATGAAGACAAGCTTCTTGCTTTTGTCTTCCAATTTTGTCTGTCTCTGATCGGGCACATGTGCGTAAGAGATACTCCCAAACACCCTCAAGTGTGACACGATCGGCTTTTGACCACTCCATGCTTCTTGAGGTGTTATATTTTCAAGATTTGAGTGCGGACACCTGTTCTGTACATACACCGCACATCGTACCGCCTCGGCCCAAAATTGCTTTGGCATATTTTTGCTCTTGAGCATGGATCTTACCATGTCCATAATGCTCCGGTTTTTTCGCTCGGCCACCCCGTTATGTTGAGGCGAGTACGGGGCGGTAAGGAATCTTCTAATTCCTTCCTCTTCACAAAACTTTGTAAAAGAGTCTGAAATGTATTCTCCCCCCGGTCCGACCTCAACGCTTTCACCTTCAGCCCGATTGTCTTCTCCACCTCGGCTTTGAAATTTTTGAATGTTTTAAAGGCCTTCGATTTTTCTTTTAGAAAATATACCCAAGTCTTCCTGGTGTAGTCATCAATAAAGGTGATAAAGTACCTTCGCCCACTGAAAGATGATGGCGTGATCGGCCCACAAATGTCCGTATGGACTGTCTCCAATGCTCCCTTGGCTCGGTACTTGGCAGTCTTCTGAAAGCTCGCCCGGGTGTGTTTCCCAAGTACGCAGCTTTCACAGAATTGCTTTGGAAAATCCATCTTGGGTAGTCCATGCACCAAGCCCTTTTTGCTCAGCTCGGCTAATCCTCCAAAGTTCAAATGTCCGAAACGTAGGTGCCATAATAGTGACTTGTCCGTCAGGTCGACTTTCAAGCACTTATGGTTTACGCTTCTCAAGTCCAACTTGTACATTCTGTTCTTGGCCATCTCTACCCGGGCGACGGCCCGGCCTCGTCTATCCTTCAAGTGTAGGTATCGACCACTTAGGTCGGCTGAATACCCTTTCTCCATAAGCTGTCCCATGCTTATGATATTTGTCTTCATGCTCGGGACATAGAGTACGTTTTCAATCGTCCCCTCTTGTCCATTCTTTTGCAGAAATTTAACCTTTCCTCGGCCTTTGATAACTACTTTTGATGTATCTCCAAAAGATACATTTCCTCCCTCAGCCTCCTTCAACTCAGTGAATAAATGTTTATAACCACTCATGTGGTTGCTCGCCCCGGTATCCAAGTACCACGTAGCGTCGTCTGTTAAGCTTCCTTCTTTGTGTGCTAGTAAGAGCACTCCTTCCTCATCTCCATCATCCTCATGCTCAGCAACATTTAGATTCTCCTCCGGTTTTGGTTTTGACCGACAGTCTCTTGCGAAATGTCCCCGTTTCCCGCAATTGTAGCATTCCCCATCGGGTCTGCCTCCCCGACCGCCTCGGGCAGCTCCTCTGCCTCGGCCTTTCCAGGTCAGGCGATATTGGTCCTCCCAGTTCTGGTGGATATTCTCCTCTCGGTTGTAGTCTCCTCTTCCTTGGCCCCGACCACGGAAGTGACCTCGGCCTCGGCCTCTCGGTTGATGGGCATACATTGCCTTCTCCTCTACCACCACAGTTTGTAATGCCTCTTCAAGCGATTCTAGCCGCTTCATCTTTCTTTGTTCATGTGCCTCCAACGACCCCGACAGGTCGTCAATGGTAAGCGTCTCAATATTTCTAGCTTCTTCGATTGCGCATACCACATTCTCGAATTTGTCCGTAAGTGTTCGTAGAATTTTTTCTACTATCCGACTCTCACTTACGGTTTCACCATTTCTCTTCATATGGTTTGCTATGGTCATCACCCGATTAATGTACTCGGTGACCTTCTCGTTCTCTTTCATCCGCATAGTCTCCAACTCTCCTCGTAGAGTTTGCAACCTCACTTGCTTTACTCTTTCCCCTCCTTTGAATACTCTTTCGATGATGTCCCAAGCTTCTTTTGAAGTTTCGGCATCGGCTATCTTCTCGTGGATGGTGTCATCCACTGCTTGAAGCAACCAAAACAGTGCCGTTTGGTCCTTCTTTTGTGCTCCTTCGAGTTCCACTTGTTGGGCAACCGTCAAGACGGTTCCTTCCTCCGGTGTTGTGTAGCCATTATCGACAACATCCCATACTCCTTGTGACTTCAACAGTGCTCTCATTTGAGCATTCCATCGGTCGAAGTTTGCTTTCTTCAATTGAGGTAGTTGGCCGAACATGGTGGCTGCCATCTTCTTCTTCAACAGTGGCTCTGATACCAATTTGAAGGCCCCAAATTTGAAGAATATTCTAAGTGTTTGGCTAACTTACAACTCAAAGGAATGGAGGAGAATGTATTATATTCCACTTGATAAAACATTACAATTGGTGTCCTTATATAGGCATTACAAGTGGAGTAAAGTAATCCCTAGGAAATACAATTTATCTTTCCAAGAAGACCTTTCATCTTTCCAATAAAAGTAGGGAAAGATAATTTATGTTCCCTAGGAAGTAAACTAATTAAGATTAATTAATTAATTAATCCCAACAGTTTGCAGACTTACAGAAATTAATGGAAACGGTTTAGTTCGGCCACTCCATCAGAATTATCTGGCAGTGCTTCATCCTCCGGCGGAATCAGCAACACTAGCGTCTGAGAATAACAAGGATGACTCCCCCGAGTTCCAAACAGCAAGCTTCTTCTCTCTGATGAGTGACTCCCCCGGTTTAGGTGACTGGCATGCTTCTGGAAATGGATCAGACAGAGGTTCTCCATCTGCTTGAGTCCCCCGAAGCTCTCAAGGCCAAAGTTGCAGAGGCAATGGATGTGCGCTCAGGAACGTCTCTCAGCAGCAGTCAAACAACACTGTTGATCAGCTGGCTTCTTTGTCGCTGAATGATGGTCTTGTTTCTTGAGAGCAACTTACTGGTGCATGTTCGTCTACTTTGCTATATTTTCTTCATCTTTTGCCCTCATGTGCCCATCGTTTTTAGTTCCTTCTAAAATAGAGACTAATTATAGAGGTGCATTCTTGTTAAAAAAAAGTTTCATATGAGGAAGACGTTTTGGACAAAGCTACAACTTCATTCTCAAATCCGAGGGAGGAAGGAGAGAATGTTGCTACAATGATTTCTTCTTCTTTTAGGTTATAATAATAATAATTCTACCAAAATCAAGCCAAATCCCTAAGAATAAAAATCCAAGGAATAATTGAGGATATGAGAATTACAAAAAATCTGGATTGAGGACATTTAGATTCAAATGGAACTCTAAATCCAAATTAGCATGTGTATTTACTATTTACTCATACTATACCAACCACTAAGTAACAAGAAATTAGTAAGTTGCCACCATGAGACATTACTACGTATTTCAAAAAGTAGTCATTGGTCTTGTACTCATTTCAGTGACTGACGTATTACATCTTGTGTGCTTTTCTACTCATACAAACTAGTCACTTACATATTCTATTTAGGTCACTAACTAAAAGACATGAATATATCCAATCACCGTAAAATGATAAAAACAATTCATTAGTGACTACACATTCAACACCCTCATACTACTCATAATACATAGATAATCAGGCCAGCGGAGATGAAAAAAATCATTACTGCATTCTTTTGCGGATTCACGATGAAGAACAAAAACATTTTGTTTTTTCATTTCCAATCCAACATTAGTGACACCAAAACATACTTTCATTCCCTATATGGTTATCAGTAACTTTGTCCCTCTCTCACCTTGCAACTGGACCTTCTTCGCCGTCCTCAAAAATCTTTTCTGTGAGTCGTCATATGTTTTGCTATCTAGTGAATGAAAATAAGGCTTCAAAATAACGGAAATACTCCTTATTTCTCTCCTTCAATTACACTACATTAATCATCCCGTTTTCCGCATGGAAATGGTTGCTAACATATATCGCACATGGCAGATTTCATATATTTTAAATGCACGTGGATAAAAAAGTATGTTCGTGATATATTACGTGGAAGCAAAAGCGGCCGTCTCCCTCACGTAGGGTTTGAAGAACTGCGCACGTAAGGTGCGATTTACACTGGTAAAGGAGGCGGAGAGACAACCATTCTTCGCATCTCCCCTGTCGAAATTGATTTCTATTCCCATCCAGCGCATCTCGGGGGTAAAGCGAGGCTGCATAGCAGACGTTCCCTTCTTCTCTGGATCGCTCAGAACTCACGCAACCATTTGGGATGGAGGACATCACAGATAAATACAACCATATGGGCTTAGGGGGAGATTAGGACGAGCTTGTTTTTGACGAGAGTCAACAGGCGTCGGAGAGACATCGCTGCGCCACACTACGTTTCCAGTCGTGGGTACCCTCCTCACAGACAAAATGGTGAAATTCCCGGTGTTTAGGGATCTTATGGCTTCTCTATGGCATCATGGGAAAGGGATCTCCATCAAAGAAATTGGGGAAAAGAGGTATATGTTCACTTTTTATCATGTAATTGATATGGAACGGGTGCTTGGAAGTGGCCCTTGGCTCTTTGAACAGAACCTGCTAGTGCTGAAGGAATTAAAGCCGGGAGACATCCCTCTTCGAGTTCCCCTAAATGAGGCTGAGTTTTGGGTGAAGGTACATAACGTACCTTATGATTTTATGAATTTAGGTGTGGCCAGAAGAGTTGGCAATTTTGTTGGCAAATTCATCAGTTTTGACGAAAGTCAATTTGAGGAGAGATGGAACTCATACATGAGAATTAGGGTTTGTATGGACATATGGAAAGCTCTCAAAAGGGGTATGATAAGCACTAGCTGTTAGTGCCTAAGTATACATTTTTATTATTGTTTGGAGTGTTTATTTACTAGTTTTGTGCAAGTTTTTAGTTGTGAGTTTGCATTTGATTGTAATCATATTTCTAGCATTTTATTGTTTGTTGTAAGTTGTAGTTAATTTGGTTTTAAGTTTAGGATAGGTTTGGAAGCAAAAAGGATGAAGAAACATGAGTTTTGTGCAAAACCCGGTCGGGTATGGATTTTACCCGGCCGGGTATGAAGTGACAAAGGAAACTGCTGCAAACTAGCAAATACCCGGTCGGGTATACCATATACCCGGTCGGGTATTCTATGATTTCAGACCAAAAGACGTGCAGAAGACACAAAAACATGGGAAAATATTTGATTAGGTAAATACCCGGTCGGGTATGTCAAAATACCCGGCCGGGTATCCGGCATTAGGTGTTGAAAACACCTATAAATAGCCCCATTTTTCTGCATATTTCATCATCCCTTCTTCCAATCTCTTTAGCTAAGCTTAGAATAGCATTTCTTTATATTTTTCTAGCTATGTTTAGCCTCCAAATGAGGAGCTAAACTTTCATTCTTGGTTTTGCTCTTGAAGCTTGTTGATTATTAAAGTTGTGAGTTATTTTCTTAACTTCTTCTCTTGATTATTAATTCTTCCCGTAATCTCATTCTATATTAATGTTGGAGGGTTGCTAAGTGACGATTAGTTAACGTTCCGACATTAATTACTACTAGAAACGATCAACGAACCGATAGTCAATCGTTGGTGGTTTCACAAGTAACTTCGGTTTATTAATGCACGATCGTGGTTAATAGACTTAAGAGGGATCAATTTTGTTGGTTAAACCGAAACCGTTGTGTTAAGGTTATCAATCTCAATTGATTTCATCAAGGAGTTAAAAAGATTGAATGCTACTATTATATCGGTATAAGGCGTTGTTCTATACTTGATTAATAGTAAGGGTTATTAATGAACGGTCGTTGTTAATAACTACCCTCGATGAATTGGAGATACTCCTCGATTGAGTATTCGAGAGGGGATAAGTTATAGATATAACAAGGATCGACTAAAATATATCAACAAGTGGAAAGTAGCAAAGCCAAGTCCCTTTTATTCTTGAATTAAACACATATAGGTTGTTCATCTTAGTTTTTAATTAAATTAAATCACTCAAACCAAAACCCCCCTTTTTATTCATTAAGTTCATAGAAAGAGAATTATACCTTTCCCTGTGGATACGAACTCTACTACACTATACTACGTATAAGTGTTTAGTATTGAATTTATTTTGACGCACCTTGACAAAAGTGCTCGTCAAATTTGGCGCCGTTGCCGGGGAGAGGCAATTAATTTTCTTTTTATTTTTAGAAAAATAAAAAAATATATATATATATAAAGTTTTCTATTTTTGCTGAGCTTTGTTTGAGTATATGGTAAAAACCCGATCCATAAACCAACTCACCTACCAAACAAACCCCGAAATAGAAAAAGCTCTCGAGCGGTTAAAGAATAAATTCTCAAATACTGACTCGGGGGAATCCTCAAGTGCTAGTTCTCAATCTAGCGACTCCGAGGAGTCAATATCAATGGCTCTTGAAACAAGAACGCTGAGGGAGCTCACAGCCCCTAATCTAAATCAACAACCCTTATGTATCACCTTCCCAACTCTTGATGCGGGTGCTACATTTGAGTTGAAATCCGGACTCATACATCTACTTCCATCTTTCCACGGGCTAAGAGGAGAGGATCCGAATAAACATCTTTCGGAATCCCACATCGTTTGCACAAGCATGTGCCCGAACGGTGTTACCGAGGAGCAAATTAAGTTGAGGGCTTTCCCATTCTCCCTCAAAGACACCGCCAAAGATTGGCTATTCTATCTTCCCTCGGGAAGCATAGACACTTGGGCGGCAATGAAGAAGAGCTTCCTCGAGAGGTATTATCCCGCCTCCATCTCCTCATCTTTAAAGAAACAAATCAGCAATGTGGAGCAAAAAGATGATGAATCGTTCTACGAATTCTGGGAACGATTCAAGAAACTCCGTGCGAGCTGTCCGTATCACGGCTACTCGGAGCAAGACCTCATCCTTTACTTTTATGATGGTCTTTGCGATGATGATAGACGGATGATCAATGCTGCATGTGGAGGAGGAATAGTCAACAAAACTCCTTCTCAAGCTAGGAATCTCATCTCGGAGTTGGCCGAAAATTGTAGACACTATGATCGGCGGTCAACAAAGAGAGTTATGGCAGCGGAATCCAACAACTCGTTGGAGAGTCAAGTAGCCGGCTTGACTTCTTTGGTTAAAGATTTCCTTTTGAATCCAAAAACCCAAGAAGTCAAGGTCTGCGGCATCTGTTCAACACAAGGGCATCCCACAGATTCTTGCCCAACTTTACAAGAGGATAACTCCGAGCAAGTCAATGCTTTGGGGTTCCAAGGCCAAAGGAGGTACGATCCTCACGGCAACACCTACAATCCAGGATGGAGGGATCATCCAAATCTAAGGTACGGAAACCCTTAACCCCCTCAACAAACAAACCCCCCCCCCCCTCCTCAATAATTTAAACAACAAAGCCAAACATCGAACTCAAGCATGTCCACCGAAGACATGATTCGAGCATTAGCCATGAATATGACTACGATGCAACAAAGTGTGGCCCAATTTCAAGAAACCACAAAGTCTAGCATCCACAATTTAGAAAGCCAAATGAGCCAAATCTCAAACGCCGTGAGTAGGCTAGAAGCTAGGGATTCAGCAAAACTCCCATCTCAAACGGAGCCGAACCCGAGGCAACAAGCTCATGCGGTGACTTTGAGAAGTGGCAAAGAGTTGGTTATGGCTAAGGCGAAAGCAAAGAGCCATGTGGGAGAAGAGGAGGAGGAGATCTTGATGCCAAGCACAAACCCTCAAAATGAAGAAGATAAGGAGGAGGAAATCACACCTCAAAGAAAGTTCCCACCGCTCAACTCATATGAGCCGGTGCCACCTTTTCCGGAGGCTCTCAAGGATAACCGGAGATACAACAATGACAAAGACATCTATGAGACCTTCAGAAAATGTGAGGTAAATATCCCTCTTCTCAATTTAATAAAAGGTGTTCCTAGGTTTGCAAAGTTTTTAAAATGTGAGTGTCGGCCGTTTTTCAAAAGAAACTGCCTAAAAAGTATAGTGATTCGGGAATGTTCACTATACCATGTAAACTTGGAAATTCTAGTTCTTCTAGGGCTATGTTAGATTTGGGCGCATCAATCAATGTCATCCCATATTCTCTATATAAGTCCCTAGAACTAGGACCTTTACATGAGACGGGGGTCGTTATCCAACTTGCCGATAGATCCAATACCTATCCAAAAGGTGTGGTAGAGGATGTTCTCGTCATGGTGGATAATTTAATCTTTCCCGCTGATTTTTACGTTCTTGAAATGGAGAACGATAAAAATGCAGTCCCAATTTTACTAGGCCGACCCTTTTTGAAAACGGTTAAGGCAAAAATTGACGTCTTTAGTGGAGTGTTAACCATGGAGTTCGATGGTGAAAAAGTCGAATTTAATATCTACGACTCCATGAAATACCCCACTGATAATCACTCTCTATTTGCGATTGACACTTGTGACGCTTGGGTCCAAGATGTATTTGAAATTGAGGGCAAGGATGAAGCACTAAGCGCAGTAGAAAACGACATAGAGGATTTTACATTGGAATACTCTATGTCAAATAACATGAAGATTATGGTGGCGGAGTTAAATCAACTCCCACTTTTGCCACCAGGCTCTAAAGCCCTCCCACTAACCATTCCAAGCGAGAAGCCGCTACCATCTGTTTTGCAGACACCGGAGGTGGAATTAAAACCACTCCCTGAAAATATGAAGTATGTGTTCTTGGGTGAAAATCACACCCTACCGGTGATTATTTCAAATGCCCTTTCCCGAGAACAAGAAGAAAGATTGATCGCGGTCTTGAAGGAATATAAATTGGCCATTGGATGGTCTATTGCCGACATCAAAGGCATTAGTCCATCCACATGCATGCACAGGATCTTGCTCGAAGATGAGGCCAAAGCGGTGAGACAACCGCAACGAAGATTGAACCCACCCATGATGGAGGTGGTGAAAAAGGAGGTAATCAAATTGCTTCAAATGGGAATCATTTTCCCCATTTCCGATAGCAAGTGGGTGAGTCCTACTCAAGTGGTGCCAAAGAAGACCGGAGTAACGGTCATTGAAAACAAGGATGGCGAGATGGTGCCCACCCGAATTCAAAACGGGTGGCGAGTTTGCATTGACTACTTAAGGCTCAATTCGGTGACTAGGAAAGACTTCTTTCCATTGCCTTTTATTGATCAAATGCTAGAGAGGTTAGCAGGGCACAAGTTCTATTGTTTTCTCGATGGTTACTCCGGGTATTTCCAAATACCAATAGCCCCGGAGGACCAAGAGAAAACAACCTTCACATGTCCATTTGGCACTTTTGCCTACCGACGAATGCCCTTTGGATTATGCAACGCACCGGGCACCTTTCAAAGGTGCATGATGAGCATCTTTTCAGAATTTGTGGAGGTATTCATGGAGGTCTTTATGGATGATTTCACAATCCATGGCGACTCTTTTGACTCTTGCCTCTATCACCTCACTCTTGTGCTAAAGAGTTGCATTGAATCCAACCTTGTGCTGAACTCTGAAAAATGCCACTTCATGGTAGAACAAGGGATTGTTCTTGGGCATGTGATCTCATCAAAGGGGATCGAGGTGGACAAAGCAAAGATCGATGTGATTCAAACGCTCCCGTACCCCACAAATGTACGGGACATCCGCTCTTTCCTCGGTCACGCCGGTTTCTATAGGAGATTTATCAAGGATTTCTCAAAAATCTCATCCCCTCTTTGCAAACTTTTACAAAAGGAGGTGGAATTTAATCTAAACGATGAATGCAAAGAGGCTTTTGACACTCTGAAAGCAAGATTGGTGTCTGCCCCGATCATACAGGCTCCCGACTGGTCTCTTCCTTTTGAGATCATGTGCGACGCAAGTGACTATGCGGTGGGGGCTGTTTTGGGCCAGAAAGTTGGAAGAGCCTCCCATGTCATCTACTACGCCTCATCAACCCTCAACAAAGCCCAAAAGAAGTACTCCACCACCGAGAAGGAAATGCTAGCGGTGGTTTTTGCTTTGGAAAAGTTTCGTTCCTACCTTCTTGGAACAAAAGTTATTGTCTACACCGACCATGCCGCTCTTCGATTCCTTATGACAAAGAAAGAAGCCAAACCAAGACTCATTCGATGGGTCCTTCTATTGAGTGAGTTTGATGTGGAAATCAAAGACAAGAAAGGAGCGGATAATTTGGTGGCTGATCATTTAAGCTGCCTCATTCCTCACAAAGACATCGAAGACCTCCACACAAATCTCATCAAAGGAGAATTCCCGGACGAAACTCTCTTCTCCATCAAAGTCGCACAACCATGGTACGCAAATATCGTGAACTTCCTCGTTTCCGGCAAATTTCCTCCACAACTCTCAAAATCTCAAAAAGAAAAATTAAGGATGGATTCAAGACTCTATGTGTGGGATGACCCATATTTGTGGAAGCATTGTAAGGATCAAATAATCCGAAGATG